AAAACAAACACTTTGAAATTGGTGCTCAAATGCAGCTTACGTATATTTTGCCTTCCGGTGGAACCGTGTCACATGGTAACCACACTATTTACAATACCAGATGTTTAGCCCTCCTCTGTAAGGTCTGGTAGAAGTGAGACTCTTAAATGATGACACAAAACATCTTATATTGTTAGTATGTAAGTAATGTAAATAGTGAAATTTTGATGCGTCTCTCGACAGAAGACCAAGCATTTATTGAGACACTGACAGCGGTCAAACCCCATAAAAATAATGTGGATGTGTCGCGAATCGAACCTGTCCCTCCCGCACCGAAGTCCGATATGGTAACCACTAGGCTAGCAACACACCCATCCTTTTCTCTTCTTCTATCTCTTTTTCCTGCCTCTTTCTCACACATTATATCAGAATGTCTCACTGAGCCTACGTCATGTTTCAGTGGCTATTGCCATTGCCGTGCCTAACCTAAGTCCAGTGTTGTCCCTGGTCGGCACCATAGGCTTCTCCGGCCTCGTCCTCCTCCAAACCTCGCTTTTTTCCATTGTAATATATACGCTAAGCCAAATTCAAATAGTAAATATATCATTTCAACCAAGTCAGTAAATGTTTGCAGCACTCGTTTCCTTAAATAATTGCAACTAAAATATTAACAACAATTAAATTATCCAGCTGATCATAATGTAAACAAATATGTACTTCATAAGGATAACATGGTATCTTTAAAAGCCACTGGGGCAGAGGCCAAGGGACTTTAAATGTAAGGTCAAATTGCAAATCTACACACCTAGACGAACATTTTGGTATATACATATTATATACCAAAATGTTCGTCTATGTGTGTAGATTTGCTGGGGTTAAATCTTAAAACAAAAAAGCGTTATTGTTCACAAAGTTTTATGTAGCGTATTAATGATATAGATTGCTCTGGAATCCATTTCTTATTTCCTCCGTTCTACCTATCGATCTCTATTATTACAACAGAGATCGATGGTTCTACCATCAAATACACATTGTTTGATAACACATTCAATAGAAAATATATTTAAAAAACTAAGTTGAGAAAATAACAGTCAATGACAATAAATTTGTTACATATGCCAAAAGTAGAGTGGAAACACTTGTTTCCCTTACCATCAGTACCACTTGAAGCGAAAATTTATACAGACGGCTTAGGTAAGTTTGCCTTGAATTTTTTAAAACGTATCCTGGAAAAACATATGAAACGGAATTTAAAAGCCAGTATACCCTTAGCAACATGGGAGTGCCCCTGAAAATAATGCATTTTACCTGCCGTTCAAAAAGTACTCAAATATTGCCAATGTTATAGTAAGTACGGTAATATTTACGTACGGTAAAATTTATTTATTTAGATTTTGTTTTGATAAATAATGTAATGTTTGGATGCAACTGCAGTCGAAGCACAGGCTCGCTGCCCATGTCGGCTTATTCTTTATAAACATGAACGCTTTGTAAACATATATGTAATGCAAAGGTTAATTTTATGTTATTCTTTAAATTCACTTATGTTTTTCTCCTTTAAATATGATTTGTGTACAAATTTCTGTAAATAATTTGTTGGAATAAAGATATAATTCATTCATTCATTCATTCATTCATTCAATATAAAGAAGCTAATACAGAAAATAATTAATACGTCGAATCTATAATCAGTTCACTTAAAATTGGAATCCATCCTATCAAAAATGTACCATGTGGTAAAATAGTAGGTGGAATTAAAAAAAGGTCATGGGCACGATACTTTATTATATTCAAATTATATAACACTACCATCCGATCACGTCGAGCCCTGTAGGCCTACCAAGTCGGTATTTTTAATCCTGAATGTTCCTGTTTATGTTCGTGTTTTGTATATTTACTTACTATCAATTGGCGACCTTGAATTGAAGCGAGAAGATATCTTTAATACTGATGATGACTCCTATGAGATTTGAAATCGGTAGCAACTTAGCTGAAAACTGGTTCGCATGAATTTGCACCAATTTATAGCACGATACTTTAGTTTAACAATTAGGCATTTTTATTAATTTTTGTTTAGTGTTACACAGCTATGGTGTCGTAGTAAAAAGAGAAAAAATAACTACCAGACATTCCTGTTATGATGTTTAGTTAGTACTTTGATATAATTTTACCACCCTCGTCACTTTACCAGTTTTAAAACTTTCGACAATTTTATGTATTAAGATCCTGCCATTAAATATGAAAGAATTATGAGTTTTACATCAGGATAAAACTATCACAACATTACTAATACTATTCTAACACACAATTCTGAAAATATTATAATTTACATTTTATCTGGAATTGGATTTTGCTCACAACGTATTTCCATAATAAATTGCATGTATCCTTAGGCAACATATGAGAGGAAATATGATAAACACAACGTACACTTAATATACCAGGATAAAACCAATGTAGTTGAACTACATTGGTTTTGTAGTTGTAGTAACACATGATACGAATCATATTGCAGTTTAAGACAAAATGATTACTACTGTAATACAATCTAAACAGCTTTTTTATTATCGTGGTATTTATTTATCTGTCACACAATGTAATCATTGAAATGTTATAAAATAATAAGGAACTCTTTTGGATAAAAAAATAAATGAAAAATACGATCAGAAATAAAATTAACTGTATCAGCAATCTGACACATACTAATCATTATCTTGTCAACAACTTTTATCGTGGGTATGCGGTGGGAGTAGCATAGTTATCTGATATTTTATAAGGAAAATTACAAAAAATGCAATAACTTTTGAAGTGTATTTTTCAGCAATGGTTGCACTCTTTTGTTTAGAATTAAGGACCATAACATACTAATGTCAACTAAAAAAGTTTTTTTAAAATCCGATTTTCCGTTATTTTATGGGGTTGCTATGGAATAATTACATAAGTTACAATAACTTTTTGACTGTAATTTTTACAGCAATGTGAGTTGTACCATTTCCGTGAAAAATTAAAAGGACTACATAACATACTAAATATTAATTAAAATTATTTTTAAAATTTTATTTTTCATTATTTATTTTATGGGTCTTTATGGGGAAATAATAATTCAATCAAAATATAAATACGCTCGCCACAGCAAACCTGCCGACTAAGCGAATTTCCTTTTGATTTTCAATTAAATCTATTTAAATAACATTAGGTTTAACGAGTACATAGGTTGGCTGCCCCAAGGAAACTAATAAAGTGTGGTTTTTAGTAAAATATTAGTAGCTTATTGTAATAGCCTGTTATTAAAATAAATAAATTGGCCAAGTTTAACTTAAATAAATCCATAAACAAGCAAACTACATTATAAAATATTCTCCATAAGAATAACGGTGGAATTTTTTATTATTTTTTTTTTTAATTTCCTCCGTTACCAATAACCTTACAAACCACTTTGATATACTTTGAAATGTCTAGAGAAAAATTGGTGAATTTTGTCTTTTGAGGGTAAAAAATTACAAAAACCAATTTTACCCCATAAATTCCCGACCCCATAACTCAATCATGCTGGTTAGCGAACTCATTCAAGTTCATCCCACCTTACACCTTTGAACCAAATTTCATCAAAATCGGACAAAAATTACTGAGTTATCGCGTTCATGGACACATCTCATATACTGTATACAGTGTGTCCCGTAAGTAAACAGCCAAACTCCGGGAAATGGTTCTATGAGTCAAAATAAAGAGAAAATCAAGAATAACATTTTTTCCAAAATCGCTTCGTTTACCAGATATCCGCCATTTTGTATTTTTATATAAACATTTTTATTTATAAATTTTTTCAAACCAAACTTTATAAAACTCAGTATGTAGGTTTATACAGAAGAGCCCCATGTTAGACAAAAAAATCATATTGATTAAGCTCAAAATTTCAAAATGGCGGCCATTTGAACTTTTTAAACTTAAATTACTCGAAAACAGGTTATTTTATGAAAAAATGCCAAGAACACTTTTATTTAGCATTTTTAATTCCCTATCAAACGATACCAAGTTCAAATGGGAAGGCAGAAATGGTGCTAGTCAGGTTAGCCCCATTTTACAACTAAAAAATCGTAATTTTTTCAGCTATTTCTTATTTGATCTTTTTGAACTTAGTATCGTTTGATAGGAAATTAAAAATGCTGAATAAAAGTGTTCTTGACATTTCTTCATAAAATTATCCGTTATTAAGTAATTTAAGTTTAAAAAAATAAAATGGCCAACATTTTGAAATTTTGAATTGAATCAAGATGAATTTGTTTTCTAAAATTGGTCTTTTCTATCTGAACCTACATACTAAGTTTTATAAAGATTGGTTGAAATAATTCAAAAATAAACATATTTATGTAAAAAGTACAAAATTGCGGATATTTGGTTAACGAAGCGATTTTGGGAAAAATTTTATACTTGATTCTCACTTTATTTTGACACATAAAAACATTTCCTGGAGTTTGGCTGTTTACTTATGGGATGCCTGTATATAATATAGAGATTTCAACGAATCTGGGGACATCAAAATGAAAAATCAAATCGTTCAAATTTCCTAGGTCTTACCGTGCCACCCACGGTAATAGCTATAGGGAAATTCCCTAAAAAGTGTAAAAAAAGTTTGGAGATACCATGGATTATACTCCTTTACCGAATTTCATCAAAATTGAACTACACGTGTGGTCTGTAGCATCTATAAATACAGACAGACAGACACACACAGACACCACTTCGACAACCACTTTTTTGGGTTTGGGAGGTACAACATGAATATATCCACTCAAACTCGAAGGTTTTGACGAAAAAATACCTTCTCCATAAGCCTACTATGGAATAGGGGAAGAAGTAATAAACGGGCTAAAGTTGCACAACTTCTTGCAGATTACGCTTCTCATAACACAGGGCTAATGATGTAGCTGATAAGCAAAGACGCAAACAATGTTTACATGGACATAATCTCTACGATCAGACATGTGGACATAAAACCCATCCAATGAGAGCTTTATGGCGGTCATTTCCCAGTTCGACTTGACTGCAGTCGGACAATGTACAATAGTCACTGAGATAAACCAAGTGTTAGCACAGCCCGGACATAACAGTTGTATTATTGAGTTATAAGTGAGTATTTACAATATTTCAAATGAATCCAGGAATCAAGAACAAAGGTGGTAGTGAAGATAACCAAACAAAGTAAGTTATCTGTTTATGTAATTCTTAGTTTTGTTGAATGTAAGTTTTTGAGTATTTAAATCTTAATAATTTATAAATAAGCTGATTGGTTAAAACGTATTTTTAATTCATAATAGTAATACAACTTGTTTAAATGTTAAATAGTTGAAAATAACCGTTATTGATCTTTTCGAGTGGTATTTTGACGTCACTTGGACAAAATAACGAAACACTCTCAGCACTAAATATAGCTTATACAATGTCATAAATGATATAATTGATCATAAACCCATAAAATTCGAGGGAAAAAACTTTTGTAAATGTGTTCTTATTCCAACCAACTAAGAAGCTTAAAGAGACTTAAAGCTGTCTAAAGTGACAAGTTGGTCTTTTTGTGAGAACGTTGTAACGATGCTTGCCTCAGGGCGCTTAATTAAACTTTGTCGTTTACTTGATTTCGACCTATTCCTGTATTTATCCACATAGTAAGTAAATAGTAAGCTGCTAAACAAATGATTTAATGATCTTGTATGATAGTTAGGTTCTTAGAAGGGCTTACTGGGGTACTTATTAGTTGGGTTCTTAGAGGGGATCTTTATAAGAATGTTTTAAGAACAATAGAGATTGTAAACAATTTCGTGTCTGGAAGGAAAACTTAACTTCGGTAGATGATGCGAACTTCCACTTATATTTTCAACTTTGTACATATAATAGCTAATTTACACAATAATAAAAAAATGAACAAGTTACTAGCTTAGTAAATCATTATGCGAAATATTAATACTGTATACATATATTCCTACGAAGATTTTCCTACACAAGAGGACATTAACATTAAGATTCTGTATAACTTCAAGAGTAATATTGAACAATAACATAAAAAATAACTATAAACAAATAAACATAAGGTCAGCCTGGAAATGGTTTCTAAATATATGTTATTTTCCGATTTGAATAAGCAATAGTGTCAACCACTATGGCCAGATAGTGTACGTCTCAGATTCAGATTCAGTAGTTTGAAAACGTTTAAATACTTTGTCTACAAGATACATGACCATAATTCGTCAGATTTGTAGTAACTAGGTACTTTGAATTGTTTTACATCAATTTAAACTACAGTATAATAACTGGATTATAAAAAAGTTGTAATGAATTTCTCATTCAGGAGCTAACATAGTATTAAACAATTTGAGTGATCGGCATTTTTGGCATATGATAATCCTATAGCTAAAAAGTATAGTTTTCCCAAGCTTAAATCCCACAATGAAGACTAGAATAAACGCTTTTGACAGTGTGGGATCTCAATCGATCAACTGTTATCCTACTAATATTAAATGAGAAAGTTTGGATGGATGTATGGATGTATGTTTGTGACAAGTGAACGCGAAAAATACTGGTCGGATTGGGCTGAAATTTGGCATGATGATAGCTCACATTCCCGATTAACATATAGGCATATTCTTATTTCAAAAATCCTTTCGGGCTCCGCCCCAGTGACTCTGGAGTTTCCCATGTTAACCTTATGAGAAATTGAATTATTGAATCTTAACAGCTGTTTCAATTAAACAAGTTGGTTCTGTTCTATGATGTTCACTCGACGTTCTGTACCCACGAGCTACTCAGCTTCCACATGCACAGGATAACAGCTATTTGTGTAATAGCTTCACTGTATATCTTTAATTGGACCTGTTCAGATAGTTGTTTCGTTTCAACAGTTGCAGTTTGCAGTTGCGAACTGTGCATTGTGGTTTTAAGGTGTTAATTCTTTACTGTTTAATTATTTTTTACTTGAGCTGCTTGAAAAGGTGTTTTATGATTATGAAAATTAAAGTATTAAAGTGTTGTGAGTGAGCTGATGCTGATTATTTGTTATTAGGTATTAACAATTAAATATTTTGCGTGCATGAATTATTTATGAACTTTTAAATGTTCACTTAACCTATCTTTTTCGGATTCCTCAAGAAAGAGTGATTGTTAATGTTAGGTTGAGTTGCGTTTGTTTGTGAATTTGTTAGATTGGAGTTTTGGTAGTGGTAGGTCTAGGTTTATTTTGATTAAGTTAGTTGGGCCTTTCAGTGGAGTTTAGGTCTAAGTTATTGCCTTTGAAAAAGTTAAATTAATGACTTATCTATTAATAAGAAGAGTATGCCTAAGTTAAGTTTACCTTAGAGGCTAACATAGACCTACCACTTACCAAAACTGCAATCTAACAAATTCACACACAAACAAACACCTAACCTAACCTAACAATCACTCTCTCTTGAGGAATCCGAAAAATATAGGTTAAGTAAACATTTAAATCTTCATAATTAATTCATGCACGCAAAACATTTAGGCTAATTGTCAATACCTAATAACAAATTAGCTTCAGCACACTCACAAAACGTTAATTTTCATAATCATAAAACACCTTTTCAAGCAGCTCAAGTCAAAAGTAAACAAACAGTAAAGATTAAAGAATAAACACCTTTTCAAAATCACAATGCACAGTTCGCAACTGTAACTGTTGAAAAAAACAACTATCTAAACAGAAACAGGTCCAATAAAGATATACGGTGAAGCTATTACACAAATACCTGTTATCCCAGGAACTGTTCGAAGGCCTTCTGTGCTTGTGGAAGCTGAGGTGCTCGTGGGTACAGAACGTCGAGTATGATGTTCAATAGCATTAAAGTTACAATGATTACCAACAGGGTGCAGCACTATTTCTTTTTTTTTAAATTTATGACAACAGCTAATTTGCAACCTAAAGGTGAGTGAGCGTAGCGAACGAACTTCAACCTGGAGGCGAGTTAGCGTAGCGAACGAGCTCCAACCTAAAGGTGAGTGAGCGTAGCGAACAAACTTCAACCAGGACGTGATTGAGCCATGCGAACGAGATAATCTTGAAAATTAAGAAGTTAAACGGGGCAAAGCCCACAGGTTACAGCTAGTGTAAACCATATGTTCAGAGTCTTATTTGTTCATTATTTGAAACTGGACAAATTCCCCAGGCATGTGTTTCGTTTAGCAAACAAAGAGTTCTGTTTTCCAAAACCCTCGGATCGCTTTAGGCTATTGTTTTAAAACATTATTTATTGTTACTATTTTATCTACAGATTACAATTCAACATTAAATGTTGAAAATTTACGGTAAATTTTACCGTAAATTTAATTCCCAATTGTATTATGTAAGTGCATACATTTTGCTTGTATTTTTAACCAGCTTTTAAATGAACAGCTTATTTTTTGACATACTTTTCTATACTTGTAGAATTTGAGTTGTTTTGGCACAAATTATAAGTAATAATATTAAGTTTTGGATGGAATTTCTACTAGAATGAAAAATGCATAGGATCATTATAACCAGCACTGTATTAAAACCCCATAACGGCAATGAACTTAAAAGCACTATCTTGCTCAAATAAACATTTACTTCAGTAAGTAAAAAAAAAATATAGTTAAAAGGCCTAAATACTTGACGAGATGTATCATTATTGTATTTCACTAGATTCAGAATCATGATTCAATGAGATAAGAAGGTTGAATGACCATGAGATAGTCATAATGCAAGGTTATGGTTTGACGTCACAAAACTACAGTTGAAAGATAAACATTCTATAACTATCACTCAAATCAATTATTTCTTTTTAAAATAGCAATATTAGCTTAATCAAAACTTAGAAGAATATTTATTATTTAGTATTCTGATAATTCAATTTTCACTTTTTGGGATATTTCCACCCAAAACTCAAACTCAAAAATGTTTGTGAAACCAATACTTTCTTCTTAATATACTATATAGGCCTACAAGAGGAGAAAGTAAAAATATGATTGAAAAATGACAACTGACAAAATAATATTTTGATAAAATTGAAACCAATACAAAACAGTTCATAATATACAGACATATCAACCCATCTGTAAAGTATTCCTATTAAAAGTATTAAGGAACGCGGCAGCGTTCCGCCCCGCCAAGTCTCCCAGCGGTACACAGCTGCTGCAGTGTATATATACATGACGTGACAAAGTGGCTTTTTTACTCGTCTATAGCTCTGAAGAAACAAAAGCTATTAAAATAATTGTTCATCTACTGGATAGGGGCAATCATTCTCAACAAAATTAAAAAAAAGAATTTAAAAAACGGTTGTGTTTGAGCTAAGAAAAACTAGTTTGAAAATTCACAAATTTTCCGTGTTCTCCTTCTTCTCCTTAAATGTTGACGGACCTACAGCCCAAACCACTGGCTCAATTTTAATGTTTTTTATGTTGTTTGAAAGCCCTTAGCGTGTAGATGTGCCTTTTGAGGGTCTCAAGTCGGTGCGTTGACCCATAAACCCTTGGCAAGCCCTCAAAGTACGAGTTTGGCCCATTTAAATAACATGGGATTAAAATCAAAACAAAAGAAGGACCAGCTGCGATTAAATCTTAATTAATTAAATGTTAGAGAAATTCATAGGAACAGCTGAAAAATTATTTTAATACTTTTATAAAGTATTTTTTTCAGGTATACTGAATGATTTGAACTACTTACTATATAAAATTACTTAGAGCAGTGATATTCCCCGATACTTTCCATTGAAAAATGCAGTGTACCGATGGTACACTGGTACAGCAGCTCGTCATTTTTAACAGTTTAATACTACTTATCAAAACATATGAAACCTAGGAACTTGAAACTTAGTACTAGTACGCTAGTACTAAGGTTTGTTCTATGTTTTGATACACTAAAACAAATAAAACGATCGGGAAAATCACTCTACATATGTTAAACAAGCAATTAAAAAGTGATATGTAAATTTAGGATAAATGAGTTATTCAATATTTGTTTTGCCTTATGCTATTTCTAACAAACCTAATTAGTTTGATTACATTTTTACATCTCTAATAAGGGCTCAATTTACACTAGTCTTTAGATATACGGGTTTAATTATTAGAACACTTATGTAACATCAACACATTTTATGTTGTTCAAGATGAGCATTGATGAAATTTGAAACTGAGTTTAAGCCCAGTGGGTTTGTTAAATAGTAATTTTGGTA